CGCGGCACGTGGCCGCCCGCAACAACTGCCCGCTCATCATGAGCGCCCTCATGGAGGCCGGAGCCCACATGGACGCCACCAACGCCTTCAAGCAGACCGCTTACGAGCTGCTGGACGAGAAGCTGCTCACCAAGAGCATGATGCAGCCCTTCAACTACATCACCCTCCAGTGCCTTGCTGCTCGCGCCCTGGACAAGCACAAGATTCCCTACAAGGGTTTCATCCCCGAGGAGCTGGAAGCTTTCATTGAACTGCACTAGGGCGGGAGAGCTGCCCCCACCAGCCTTTCCCGTCGCCTCTTTCGCCCCGGGGAGGTGGCACAGCTCGAGATCTCGGGCTGGCCTTGCCCAGGAGCCGAAGGCCGTCGCTGCGAGCTTGGCCCTCGGCTGTCGCCGTGGAGTCAGCGTGCGCAGGGGTAGGGGAGGAGGAGGAGGCTCGAGGCTGCCCCTCGGCGGTGTCCTCTCCAGATATCTCCAGTGTCCAGGGAAGGCCGCAGCCCCAGCCCGTCCCCGTGCAACCCCCTGGTCCTGAGGAGGAAGGAGATTCCGCAGGACCTGCCGCCTCTCCCGTTAGTGCTCGGTTAATTAACTCAGCGTTAAGCTTTGGAGCAGCTCCACATCACCCGCGCTCTAGCCCTTCCCATCCCAAATGCCGGACAGGTAGCAATGCAAGTGAGGAATAAAACATCTTCTCGACTAATTCTTTCCCCACCCCCTTCTCAGATTTGGTGCCGTACGAGTCCAGGAGCCGAGGGGCTCATGCTCTCTGAGGTAGTCGCTGTGCATGGCAGTAGGGCTGGGGATGCTGAGGATTCTTTTTTGTTTTCTTTTTTCCCTTGGTTGGCCAAGTAGCAAGTGCTGGTGAAGGCCTGGGATTTTGATAATTGTGCATAAAGCTGGGTTGTTTTTTCTCTTTTAGAGCCAGGCCCTATCTATGCTGCAAGACTTCTTCAATCCTGTCAGATATAGTAAGGTCAGTTCTGATTACGTAGTTTCATCGGTAGATGTTGGATTTTATGAATGGGGAGGAAAAACCGCTAAAACCAACGTGCTAACGTGGCGTCCAGGCCCTGAGCTTGCCCGTTCTGCGCTCGTTTGCTCCCTTCCCCACGCCGGGGTCCTTCAGCTCCTGAGCTCAGCCGGGATTGAGCTGTGCAGGGTGGGCATGGCCAGGTCTTGGAGCCGAACCAGAGCATTTTGAGCCACCTTTGAGGCTTCCAAACCCTCTCGGATGGGAGATCCCTGCAGCGTGGGTGGTGCTCGGGGGGTTATTAAATCGAGGGAGTGTCTGGTGGGTTTACCTGAGGGTGGTCTGAAGGAAGCAGTGAGCAAGAAAGCAACTTCTTGTTCTTGTGAGGTTTGTTAGTAACAACTGATGGGGCTCTGCTAATTAGCCCAGGTGAAAACCTCCGTGGAGTGGGTCGTTACCATCTGGTTTGGGCTTTTGATTCCCTTTGCAGCTTCGCTGAGGATGGCGCCGCTTCAGAGATGGGGTTTGAAATGTCATTTGGCCACTGGCTGGGCGAGCTCTTCAGCTGGGCTCTGAGCACCGCTTGGTTTTCTCTTCACACCCGTAGTGTCGGGGCAGGAATTCGCTCCGTTAGCAGAACCCTCCTGGGCGGTCAACAGGCCCTGTTGGTAAACACGAGCTGCTCCTGGCGGGGAGGGACGGGCTCTGGCAGCCCCGGGGCTCGTTTCTTGGCCCCGGGCGGAGGAGAAAGCGGGGCTGGGAGTGAAGCAGCTGCCTCGGAGCTTTGGGAAAGGTCAAGCAGAGCCCTGACAAACCCCCGCGCGCTACGTGCTGCTCGAGCTTCTCAACTTGTGTTTATCAGCCAGCGTATCCATCCGCCGCAATAATCCAACGCTCGCTGTCCCTTAAAGGTATCGTAGATCAGCCGTGGCATTTTTGCAGTGTTAACATTTATTTATAAAGCAAGGAGGTTTAACTGTTACTGAGATGTAAAGCGCAGAGTTAGTTTAGCTGCATTCTACTCTTTTTTTTTCTTTTTTTTTTCCCCTCCCTCCTTTTGGCTGAAACCTGAACTAAACTGCAGGAATGGAATTTGTTAACCTGTGAGCTGACGAGCGCTCTTAACTTTAAATAATAAAACAAAAAATGGCTGCTAGAATGCAAGTGCCTTGGACTTCTTGCTGACAAGCCTCTACTTTCAGCCCGTTCCCCAGGTTGTGGGTCCGGGAGCACAGACACGATTCTTTCTGAATTTTCTCCCGGGAAAAGCTAAATCTGTACCGCAATTGCAAACATTTCCCCTGAAAAAGGGTAACGCTGACACTGAAGTGACCCCTCTCTTTACATACTGTGCCTTGTCTTTTGACGTAAATGGAGCGATTTGAACTGATGCTGCTCTCCTGACTCTGATTTTACCTTCCTGGTGTGTGGTTGGGGCTGTGGGCACTGCAAGGAGAAAGAGGGACGCGGTGTGGCCGTCATTGCTTTATGGTTTTCATCCCCGGAGCTGTTAGTGGGAGGTCAAAAGCAGGCGGGGAGCAATTACAAATATTGGAGTTAGGGCCATACAAGAGTTCGGATGAATACACGAGCTTGGATTCCCAAAAATGCTCAGCTTTCCCCAGGGAGGGAGCGGACAGATAAAATATTTGAATGTTTGTCCTTCCATTGATTGCTCCATCCTCAAAAACAAGTCTTCATGGTTTGATCTTGACAGTTGGTGCTAGACACGACACTTGAGCGGTGTCTGCAGTTCTGTGGGAGCTGCTTCTCCCACTGAAACGCTGCTGCTGTGCTGTAGGTGATCTTTGTACGTAAGAGAACTCCCAGAGAAGGGAACTTTTCCGCAGCTGGGACGGGGAAGCAACGGGGGAACCGCGATCTTGTGATCCCCACGAAGCTGCAGGATCCAGTCGTGGACAAGAGCCTCAAGCAGGAGAACACCGTGGGGTAAAAAAGGGCTTTAATTTTTTTTGGTCTTTTTTAAGACATAAATAATCTGTAATTACACAGTAAGGACCTAGCAATTAAATGTTAATAGTAGTTCCTGGGTGGGAAAACTCACTGCACGAATTCAGGGGTAATTACACTGAACAGTCCTGATTTATCCTGGGCTGGGCTGGGCCCGTTCCAGCGTGTGGAGCAACCCCACGAGCTGTGGGGCGCAGCGAAACATCTCAGTCATGGGTTTATTATCTTGGACAGAGAAGGGCAGTGTGGTGGTTTTTTTTTTTCACTGGGCACTGTGGTTCCAGCAGGGCTGTGGCTCTTTGGTGGAAGTTGCTCCCAATAAATACCTTTTGAGCTTCTTGGTGCAGTAAACTTAGGAAAAAAAAAAAAAAAGCAACCCAGCCCTGCAACGTGTCCCTGTGTGCTGGTGTGTCTGTCCCTCTCGCCGATACAGACCCGATGACGGGACTGCGCTGACGTTGTTTACAAGCTGGAGCGGCTTCCAGGCAACTCGAGTTTTGTGGGAGTTTTATTTATAGAAAGCAGAAGGGCTGGGGAAGGGGGAGGGTGTCTGAGTTTCCTCCCGAGGGGAGGGGCCATCCTGGTGACCGGCCACCTGACGGGAATTGTGGCAACGAGACGCCTGTCTGAGCAAAGGTGACAGGGAGGAGAGAAAAGAGGGAAATAGAAGGGATCCAGGAGCTTGGAGGATTCAAGCAGACGGTACCAATGAGTTAATCCGCTGTTGCTGGATCCGTCAGCGTTAAAAGCTGAAGCTTTTCCGAGCTGGACGCCAGCAGCCGATGGCAGCTCCTAAATGGCGCTGCCTTGAGGTGGTTCTTTTTCTGGTGAGGAACGAGTGGGCTTTGACTTGTCTGAGCCTGGAACTTGGAGCTAGTTCACAGCCAGGCAGGTCCAGGAGGAGCTCAGGCTCCCTGAGGTCAAGGGCAGGGAGGCAGAGACGCACACTCAGGAGAAGGGACCTGTGGTCTCGTAAAAGGAAATCCCGTGGGATTCAAATCCAGCGCTGCGACAGCCGCTGCTCTTTAAGCACAGGGATGTGTCAGCCCTCAGCTCCCGCACCCGGTGGTGCCCACAAGTTGCAGAGGCTGCCCTGCAGGTGGGTCCGTGCCCAGGCTCTCCTGCAGACCTCCTTGGCCCCTCGGGAGGGGCACGAGCTGCTGAAAAATAAAAAGACAACAGCTGGAGCTTTCAGCACGGGGCAGGTGGAGTGGACTCTCCTTTGTTGTGAGATTTGCTGTCCTCCGAGGAGAGACTCGCAGTCTGTTCTCTCCTGCGTGCTGCAGACTCGTGTCTCGGCAGTGAATTTTCTTTAGTAGGACACGCTTGGAGCGGAACGAGCTCGAGGTGGGTGGAGCTGGAGAGGAAGAGTGAGCGTTGGACGGTCTTTAGCCTGGTGACCAGAGTGCTCCCTTCACGTCAGCTGGACAGGCTTTGTTCTGGGGGCTTATTACATCTTTCTTACGCAGGTGTTGGTTTTAAGGCTTGGATAGCTCTGTAATCCAGAATTAAACCCCGTGAGTGCCCACCTCGGGCAGTCCCAGGTCCAGGATGACGTGGAGGAGTCTGCCTTCTCCCCACTTGAAGCCTCCCGGGGCAGCTCTGCAGAGCGACGCGAGGTCACGCGCGTCTGACCCCAAAACAGGGTCGCTCCCCCCGTACCAGTCACCCTGGCTCTGGAGGTCACCGTAACAAGGACTCGGCAGCTCCTGGGGGGCGAGGAGTAGGGGAGAGCTGCCCCGCAGAGGCCCCGGCGAGGGGTGAGCTGCCTGGCTGACCTCTGGCTGGTGGCTTCGGGCTGACCTCTGCTGACAGAGCCGGCGAACGGCCGCGGCAGAAGCGGAAGGAAGAGCTCAGCCTCTGGGGTTTTCCTTCAGGCACCCTCCTTGCCTTAAAAGCTCAGGAGACACCTGCTTGGTACGGCCCTGGCCCAGGCCCTGCCGAATACCTGCCCCCTCCCCAGCCGTTCCCTTCCCTT